CTGGCCTGGGTCTGACATCCTTGACTCTGGGACCTGATGGGAGGCCCTCTGCCCCACAGCTCCCACTGCGTGAGGGTGGAACACTTCATGAACTGCAGAATCACCACGCTGGCCAAGGACATGCCGCTGGAGGAGGTGGTCAAGGTTGTGACCTCTACAGACATGGCCGAGTATCCCCTGGTGGAGAGCACAGGTGCCAGCCAGAAGGGGGAGGAAGTCGGTGGGGGGATGCCCTCTGCCTCCTTCTTGGACCCGTCAGGCAGACAGGATCTGCATCCAGGCTCTGTGGCTTAGCAACCAACCGTGTGACCTTGGGCAGGTCACTTTGCCTGAGCCTCAGTTTCCTCATCAGTAAAATGGAGATCGTGGCCTTCCTCCCTTGGGGTGGTTGACTTGTCTAAAGAGACGGTGGCTGGGTGCTTGTAAGGCAGCCCCTGGGCACCTGCTGGAGTAGGAGCATGGAGACTTCCAGAAGCTTTGCCCTCAGGCCTGTTTCTTTGTAATGCACCTCTCTCCCTCTCCCTCTCCACTTGCCAGAGTCCCAGATCCTGGTGGGCATCGTGCAAAGGGCCCAGCTGGTGCAGGTCCTCCAGGTTGAGCCTTCTTCCTGGGCTCCAGGACATCAGGTGGGTACTCTTGAGGGGTGTGGGGATGGGGTGGGGGTCGGTCAGCAGGGCTGGAAGGAGAGGGGCATGCTGATCTCCTGAGGAAGAGGTGGTCTGAGAGAGGCAGCCTGGTGGGGGGGCCGGCCCTGCACCTATAACTCTTCTCCACCCCAGCAGGGTCTCCAGGACATCTTGGCTTGGGGCTGCCCCATACAACCAGTGACCCTGACGCTATTCCCAGAGACCTCCCTGCACCAGGTAACAAGTATTGGGGAGTGCGACTCGTGAAGCCCCTGGGGAGGGGCAAGAGTTGATGAGGAGCTCAGGCTCCAGCCTCCCCTCCCACCCCAGCCCCGCCCACCTGCCTTGTGCTGCTTCCTGCCCCTCCTGGGCCTGTGCCCTCACCAGCACACCAGGCAGGGCAGCTCCCGCCCTGTCATCACCTCAGTGCCAGAGTTGTGGGGATGATGCAGGGAGAAGGGAAGTGGAGGCTTGGCAAAGGGAAGTATCTGGGTGGAGACAATGGAGTTGCAACAAGGCACACGCGTGCTTTTGGACAAGTGACATAGCCACTCTGGACAGAGCCTGACACATGGGTGGGGGAGGGGCCGAGGCCAGCAGGGGACCTGGAGATGGCGCTGCCCACTCTGTGCTGATGGAGGGTGCTGGATATTGGGTCCTGTCCACCTGCTGCCCACCCAGCCTCTTGCATGGACTCTGGCATCCCCCAGTGGCCACACTGGACATTGCAGGCCTGGGTCTCTGGTCTCCCACCCACATCAGGCCCTGCCCCTCTTCCTGGCTCAGAGGCATGGGCAGGAAGGTGGCCAGAAGGTGGGCTGGACGCCTTCAACCCTCCAGCATTTCCTAACAATCCCTCCTCCAGGCACACAACCTCTTTGAGCTGTTGAACCTTCAGTCCCTCTTCGTGACATCGCGGGGCAGAGCTGTGGGCTGCGTGTCCTGGGTAGAGGTACCAGGGTCTCCAGGGCAGAGCAAAGCAGGGGACCCATGCTGAGAAGGCTGGGGAGGTGGGAACACAGCATGCTCCCATCCAAACCTGGGGGTTCAGAGGATACTGATGAGCCCCTCTTCCTGGCCTAGGTTGGCCACTGGGTCTGGCTCCCCCTACTTTGTTTTCTGGCCAGTGGCCAGCCTGCCCCTCTCTGGGCCTTGGTGATCCCATCTGTGTAATGGGGTGGCATGGGCTCTGCTATTCAGCCCAGAAACAACCCTTAGGGGAACTAAAAATGCTGCAGCCCCCCTCTCAACCTCCTCTACATCCCCCCAACTCCCACCCCCTTTCTCTGTTCTAGATGAAGAAAGCAATTTCCAACCTGACAAATCCACCAGCTCCACAGTGAGCCGGCCCAGCGAGATGAAGCAGGGCACCCCAGCTGCCCTGGTGCTGAGGTTGGGCTGAGACCCCACCTCTCCTCCCCCATCACCACCCACCCCTCCCTCCAGCCCAGCTCCATTCCTTGGCATAAGAGGCAGCTCTAACCTAGCCCAGAAGAGCCTGGCTCATCCTGGAAGAAACGATGGCTCCTGATTGAAAGCCAAATCCCACCTTGGACAGAGCTCAGAGCGTGAGATGCCAGAAAACCAGTATCTGGCAGGTGCTCAGTGACTGACCATCACATTAATGAATGACAAGGTTGGGGTATGCTGTCACCAAGGGCAGGCACAGATGCTCTCTGGGGTTGTCTGATTCCCAGTGAGAGGCTCCTGAGAAAAATAAAGCTAGTTCCCAGAGCTGCTGTCCATCCCTCGTCTCAGCTGCAAGGGTGCTGGCCTGGGACATGAGCTCCCCACCTGCACTGGTCCAGAATGAGTTTCCCATGGTCACGTGGGCACTGCAGGCTCGGGTCCCTGGGCTCCTCCTCATGTTCCACTTCTTGCCAGGGAAATGCCGGGGAAAGAGGGGCTCCCACCAGGTCTATGATGCTTGTCCTCATGGGTAAGCAGGACCCTGTCTGTGTCACTCAAGCCCTAGTCTCCTGCTTGGCTGAGCCATAGCTCATAAAGCCATAAAGCCAGGTCCCCAAGTGTGGCTCTTGGGGAGTCCACAGAGCCTTGGGCATCCCCCATGGGTCCTCTCGGGCTGGGTAACAGCAGTGTGTTTGTGTTGGGGTTGGGGTCCTCCCTGACTCCCTCTGGTCTCCACCCAGGGGCCCAAGGTCACATCTTCCCCAGCAGAGACCAGGCCAAGGTCATCCAGGGTGAATCCACCACTTTAATGTCTTCAGAGAGCCTTGAGTGAGATGGGAGGGAGCTGCAAGGAGGGGGAGGGGGCTCCCTGGGGAGGAGCAAGGAGCACTGAGGAAGCAGGTTCAGAGAGGGAGGGACAGACACACAGACACTCCACAGAGACAGATGTCCTGGTGAGGAGAGCTAGGGAGCCGGTGCTTAGCTACCAGAAGTGGCCACCTCACCTTTGCTGGGGGACAGATACACAGACACTCCACAGAGACAGATGTCCTGGTGAGGAGAGCTGGGGAGTGGGTGCTTAGCTACCAGAAGTGGCCACCCCACCTTTGCGGGGGGGCAGATACACAGGGGAGTGTGAGGGCCTGAGCCCCAGGTATGGGCAGGGTTCCCAGACCCCACTCTAAGTGGGTCCCAGTTCTCTCCCTGGCTGTCCCCCTGGGGCCTGGCTGTGGCTCCTCTGGGCCGTCTCTGAGAGTCCTTGAGTTCCCTGAGGGCAGACACCCTGCAGGGGAAGGTGCCCACCTGAGTGACCTAATGAAGGGGAAGGGGATTATGGCTCCCACTGCCAGGGGCAGGTCCACCGAGGCACAGAGAGGCCACCATGAATGCTGGCCCATCCCTGCTGCACTGACCCTGTGCCTACCCGAGGGGTCAAGAGATGCCCTGCCCTGGACCCCAGGGTCTAGATATGCCTGGGCTGCCCACGTGGCGAGGTCATGGTGTGAACAGTGCAGGACCGGCACAGCCCCCTCCTCAGTTATAGAACACCTCGTCCTCCTCCCAGAGGGAGCCGCTGTCCACGGAGGGGAGGGAGCCTGGCAGGTTGGTCCCACCCTTGGGTCTTTGGGTCCTAGGCAGCCGCCGCCGATGCTACAGCTCTGGGCTGGGGGCTGGGGGCTCCTAGGAAGAGGGCCAGCAGCTGGAGGAGCGGCCGGGCGAGGAGAAGGCCTGACGGCTGTTGTCTTGCAAGGACCACTGGGAAGGCTGTTCTGAAGGTAGCCACTCTCCAGGTCTGGAAATGCAACCGGGTGAGGGAGGAATGGTTGAACCTAGGCAACCCGGCTGGGAGTCCTGACTCTGCCTCGGCCTCTGATCTTGGACAGGCAGCTTTGCCTCCCTGAGACACCATTTCTTTACAACGAGATCACCCTGCCTGCCTCATGGGGCTTCTGTGGGCACTTACGGTGATTAATCTGGGGAAGGCTGGCTGTGTACCTGGCACACAGGGAGGGTGCAGGCATGCTGCCCCACTCACTTTTGCCGGCCTGTCCTCGCCTTCCTTGCCCAGCCTCCTCCATCTCCCTCTGTGCTTTTCCAAACCTTCCATGTCCAGCTCTGAGTCCCCTGGACCTTCAGCCTCAGCTTGGGCAGATGACTCCTCGCTGTCCTGCTGTGTGCGTGAGCTCCCCTTCCCTGGCCCCTGCCCAGCAGCAGCCCGGGAGCCTGGTGCAGCCGGGCACCACCCTGTGTGGCTCTGGTGGGTGGGGAAGCTGCTGCCCCCCTCTCTCTTGGCGGCTCTGCTCTGCTCTGCTCCTGGGCAGTTCTGGTTGGTTTTCAAGGACATTTGAAGTGTTTGCCATAAACTCTGGGCCCAGGCAGGAAAGGGGGGAGGCTGTTGATTGTTGGAACACACACCTGTCCAGGTGCAGGGGAGCTGGAGGCTCTGTGAGAGGAGCGCCAGCTCAGCCACAGCAGGACTGACAGGTGAGGGGGTGGCTGCAAGGAGCTGGGGCTTGCCAGGGCCAGGCAGGCTGGGAGGAGGGGGTGGCAGGGGCAGGAGCCAACACCTCACTTTGGTCCTGGAGGGGTCTCATTTTGGGCCTGGGATTTTCCTGCCTCTGTGGCCTGAGCTGGGGTGGGGGGTGCTCGGGAGTGGACAGGGAGAGTCAGAGCCATCCCTGGGACAGCCCTGGCCAGAGACTGCTCCCAGCAGTGGAAGCACCAAGCGATCCAGAAGGGTTCGAGTGGTGGCCACAGAAGGGGAAGGCTCTGAGCAGGGCTTGGGCTCCAGCCTGTGCCCTGTCAGCTGCTGGACATGGGGGGACACCTAGGAATCCCACCTCCATCTCACACAATGACACACACAGGTGCACACCCACAGTGACAGAACCTCAGGGATGAGGGCACACACAGACCTAGTGTGATAACTTCACACACACACACACACACACACACAAACACACACACAGGAAAACCCAATCCTTCCTCTTCATTTGGAAGGGAGAGCCCTGGAAGGGCCGAGAGGCCTTTCGAGGACGAGGAGCAGCTTACCTGGGTGCCTGCCTCTAACCAAAGCAGCTCACCCGGGTCCCTGCCTCTATCCACTTCCCCAGGGACCTGATGGAGGAACTGGTGGGGCTGCATGAGGGCTCTTCAGGGGACCCTGTGACTCTGCAGGAGCTGTGGGGCCCATGTCCCCGCATCCGCCGAGGCATCCGAGGTGAGAGCCAGGTCTCCTTCCCCTCCCCGTGGCGGACCCCTCAGGACATCCCCCTGCCCAGCTCCCACCCCACCTCCCTGCCCAGAAGCCACCCTCCTCCTGGCATTTGTCCAGGACATCTTGGTCCAGAGTCTCCTGGGTGTAGGGAGGGAAGCGGTCTGTCTGTCCAGCTGTCTGTGGGTCAGATGGGCTGGGCATCTGCCTCTGCCTTTTGAGGGCAGCCTGAGGCCTGGTCACTGTGCCTACCCTCCTCCCAGGCCTCTCCCTCACCTACCTGTGCCAATGAGGGGCCCTGAGGGTCAGCTGCTGGGACAGCTGGGGTACAGAAAAGAGGGGGGGCAGCCTGCACTGGGCACCTTTTCTTAGAGGCCCTCAGCTATGGGGCAGAGCAGGCAGGGACCCCGGAAGGAAGCCAAGTGCAGCCCCAGGGGCTGGTACCCACAGTCAGTAATGGCCAGCTCCCAGGCTGGGCTGGCAGCCAGTGGGCCAGGGGCATTGCTGGGAACCCGGAAGATACCTGGCGCCACAGGTCCTGGGACACGCAGGAGTCTGCTAGACCCTGGAGCTCTCTAAGCTATGGACCCTTCGGGGATTCAGGTGAAAGCGTAGCTGCCAGCCCCCTCCACACTCTCTGTCCCCCAGGAGTCCCCAGTAGAAGCAGGGATGTAGAGGGTGGACGAGTCAAAGGCTTTCCAGCAGGGGCAGCAGTCTTGGCACCCACTGTGTCATGATTGTCACCTATCACAAATCGTGCCCAGTCCCCAGTGGACTACCCCATGCTCCACCTCATGCAGGGCCCCCTCTCCACCCCATGCAGGGCCCCCTCAGGACTACCCCATGCTCCACCACCAAGATCCACCCATCCTGCCCCAGTCTCCCTGCCTGGAGCCCAACAGGCCTCCAAGGAAGAGACTGTCTGTGTACCCTGCCCCACCCTGGGCCATGACCTCTATGCCCTGTCTCAGGAGGCCTGGAGTGGCTAAAACAGAAGCTGTTCCGCCTGGGCGAGGACTGGTACTTCCTGATGGCCCTCGGGGTGCTCATGGCCCTGGTCAGCTACACCATGGACTTCGCTGTTGGGAGTGTGGTCCAAGGTAATCTCTCCATGGCAGGTGCTGTCCTGGGCCAAGGAATTCTGAGCTCGCTCTGGGCATGCCAGATGGATGTCACCAGGTGCAGCGGAGGTGGGGAGAGGGCTCTGGGTGGGGATCTGGTCCTGGCTTTACTCCTGACTTGCTGTGTGATCCTGGGCAGGCTCCTGCCCCTCTCTGGACCTCAACCATCTCATTTCCATGAGGGAGAGAGGCCTGAATGTTCCCCACAGCCCTTCCTCCTCTGAGCTCTGTGTCTCCTCTTACAGCCACACCATTCTTTCTCCTTCCCTCCTCCGCACCCTAGGGCAGGAGTAGGGGCACTTGCCTAGATCACCAAACCTGGAGCCTTGCCCCCCATTCCTCAGCAGCCTGCCTCCACCCTGAGGCCTGCCTGGAAGAGGGGGTGTGGGCAGGAAGGGTCTAAGACACTTCCTCTGGAGACCCTCAGCTGCCTGAAGCACAGGACCTACTGCGGTGTTCGGAGCTTCACACCTGTGTCATTCAGTTCTCAGTGGCTCTCTTTAGTCTACAATGAGCCTGTGAGGGAGAGCCCATCACTAGCCCACTTGACAGATGGGGAAACTGAAGCTCAGAGAGAGCTTGAGTGGTTTCCCAAGGTCACTGAGCTAGGAAGTGGTAAAGCTGGGATATGGACCCAGGGTCGCACTCCTGCCTCCTCTCAGGGGTCTGCGCCTCACTGGGTGTCCTGGTCCTCCCCTCTTTGTGCCTCCATTTCCTGTTCAGTCAGTGGGCACCACAGTGTTGGTCCCAAGGGCTGCAGAGGCTGTGGGTGGCCCCCTGATACCCAGCCATTCGCAGCACACCAGTGGCTGTACCGAGAGATTGGGGACGGTCACCTGCTCCGGTATCTCTCCTGGACTGTGTACCCTGTGGCCCTCATCTCTTTCTCCTCGGGCTTCTCCCAGAGCATCACGCCATCCTCTGGAGGTGAGTACACGGTCACCATGCCAGTCCCCACTGGCCAAAACCTTCTCAGATCCCAGGGGGCTTCTGACGGGGGGAGTTGGGAAGCAGCAGCCTCATTTTACAGATGAAGGCCCAGAAGCAAGAGTTGTGTGGCTTGCCCGAAGGCACACAGCAAGAAGGCCAGCTTGACTCTTGGGTCACTACTGGCCCTACCCACTTTCCAAGGGCTCCCTGGAAAGAGATCCCCTGTGGGGCCTGTGCTGGTGCCAGGAAGGGGCCCGTGGAGGAGGCACAGCTCCCCCAGGTTGCTCAGCCCTGTCTCCAGCTGCAGGCCAGCAGAGGGGAGCTCCAGGCTCACTCGGTAGTGGCCTGAGGTTTCATCCAGGCTTCCCCCATCCTGCCACAGCCATCTGTCAGGCCTGGCGGGGAGGAACGTGAACAACTCCCATTCCCTCTGTGACGCTCAGTGTCGAAATCTGCAAAATGGGTTCAAAGATCTTATCCTGGGCCAGGTGCAACGACTCATGACTGTAATCCTAGAACTTTAGAAGGTTGAGGCAGGAGGATCACCTGTGCCTAGAGTTTGAGACCAGCCTGGGCAACACAGGGAGACCCTGTCTCTAAAACAAATAGAAAAAATCAGGCCAGGCGCGGTGGCTCAAGCCTGTAATCCCAGCACTTTGGGAGGCCGAGGCGGGTGGATCAAGGTCAATAGATCCAGACCATCCTGGTTAACATGGTGAAACCCCATCTCTACCAAAAATACAAAAAATTAGCTGGGCATGGTGGCGCGTGCCTGTAATCCCAGCTACTCGGGAGGCTGAGGCAGGAGAATTGCCTGAACCCATGAGGCAGAGGTTGCGGTGAGCCGAGATCGCGCCATTGCACTCCAGCCTGGGTAACAAGAGTGAAACTCTGTCTCAAAAAAAAAAAAAAGAAAAAAAGAAAAAATCAGCTGGGCATGATTGCATGTGCCTGTGGTCGAAGCTACTCAGGAAGCTGAGGTGTGAGAATTACTTGAGCTGGGAATTCAGTCCTGCAGTGAGCCGTGTTTCACCACTGCACTCCAGCCTGAAACAAAGGAATCCTAACCCAGCTGGGCACACTGGCTCATGCCTGTAATCCCAGCACTTTGGGAGCCATAAGGGGACGGATCGCTTGAGGTCAGGAGTTCTAGAGCAGCCCAGGCAACATAGCACTCCTCTTGAAAAAATAAGCCGGGCAAAGTGGTCTCCGCCTGTAGTCCCAGCTATTCAGGAGGCTGACTTGGGTAGATAACTTGAGTCCTGGCATCTGAGGCTGCCGTGAGCTATGAGCTATGAGGCTGCCACTGTACTCCAGTGTGGCCAACAGAGCCAGACCCTGTCCCCAAAGGAAAATAATCCTACCTTGAGAGGGTTCTGCTGATCTGGCAAGACTGTAATGTGAAAACACCGCGCGGGTAGAGCGTTGATAATTTTAATCCAGAGATTGTCCCCCTTCTGGCTCTGCGCACCCCTGGCAAGGTTCCGGAGTCCCGGAGGTGAAGACCATGTTGTCGGGTGTGATCTTGGAGGACTACCTGGATATTAAGAACTTTGGGGCCAAGGTGGTGGGCCTCTCCTGCACCCTGGCCTGTGGCAGCACTCTCTTCCTGGGCAAAGTGGTATGGGCAGGCATGAGGGCACCCCAACCACCCCTCCCACCTCATCCTGAACCTATCCTCTCCCCCATCACCACCAAAACTGAGTCAGAGCAGACTCAGGCCGTCCATGCCTTCAGGGAGCTCCATCTTAGGGGAAGAGGCAGGTCAGGTCCCCAGTGTGACAAGAGCCACCTGAGGACAGCCCTGGGGGTTGGGGAGATGGAGGAGAGGGCGTGGTGTGGACGCCTTGCGGTGGCCTCTGGGTGAGGCTCTTCTGCTGCCCTCACCTGGGCCCTGGGCCCACCCCTCCCTCTGCAGGGTCCCTTCGTGCACCTGTCTGTGATGATGGCTGCCTATCTGAGCCGTGTGCGCACAGCGACCATCGGGGAGCCTGAGGTTAGGGACTCACGGGCTACCTTGGTGGAATGGGAGTGGGGAGGGAGGGGCTGACGCTGAGCCCTGGACTCGGATCCCACTAGAATAAGAGCAAGCAAACCGAAATGCTGGCGGCAGCGGCGGCAGTGGGCGTGGCCACAGTCTTCGCAGCTCCCTTCAGCGGTGAGACCCCCTCATGCCCCGCCCCCTGGGTCGCTGATGCTCCTCCCCTCACACCCTGGGCTCCCTCGGCCCCGCAGAGAGCCTGGAGGAGGGGGCGGGGCTCATTCTAGTTCTAACTTCAGCCCTGTCTTGGAGTCAGCCAACCCCCAGGGACGTGGGGAGCGGGGGGAGACGGGACGTGGTTGGGCGGTGCTGAGAGGCTTCAGGGTGACATTAGAGAGACATGGGTTTGAAATCCACGTGTGATCCTGGCCCGTTGGCCTCTCTGAGCCCGGCTTCCTCCTCTGTAAAATGGGGATCGTAACCGTCCCCACCCGATAGTGAGAGGGCGCACACCTGTATCCCAGGCTGGACGGGTCCCTGGGCAGCGGGGTCCTCCCCACCCAGGGCGCATGCCCTGTCCTTCCCTCCTGTCTGTTCCTGTCCAGACTGTAGGGAAGCAGGACAGATGGATCAGGGAGGAGGTTACATAGGGAGGGGGCTCTACAGCCGCAGGTGGGTGGGGGTAGGGGGGTGAGGCTGGGGGTGGGGGTCCCAACTGAGATCAGTGTCGCCCCCAGGCGTCCTGTTCAGCATCGAGGTCATGTCTTCCCACTTCTCTGTCTGGGATTACTGGAGGGGCTTCTTTGCAGCCACCTGCGGGGCCTTCATGTTCCGACTCCTGGCGGTCTTCAACAGCGAGCAGGGTGAGCCCCTGGGCTGCCTGACCCTGGCCCTGCCTGGGGGCTGGGTGGAGGGGGCTTCCCTTCTCCCCTATGTACATCCCTTGTTCTTCCCTTCCTTCTTTCTCTCTCTTTTTCCTCCTCCCTGTTTCCACCTCCTTCTGGGAGGATGGAGGGGCTGACCTGTGTGAAGCATGAAGGGCAGGCAGGTGCCTGAGGGTAGAAGGGGGTGAGGCTGGACAGAGAGGCAGGAGCCTGATTGTGGGGGCCTCCAATGCCAGGAAACAGATTCAGGGTCAGGACCTGGCACCCCTCCACCCTGGCCTGTTATCCTGGGACTTGGGTTTGGGTGGGGTGGGAGCATCATCTAGGCTCCCCACTGCCCTCCTTTCCCAGAGACCATCACCTCCCTCTTCAAGACCAGTTTCCGGGTGGACATCCCCTTCGACCTGCCAGAGATCTTCTTTTTTGTGGCGTTGGGGTGAGTGGGAACCTTGGGCCCCTGAGAGTCCAACATGGCATCCCCAGGTCTGGACTGGACCTCTGGTTCTGGGGTTGGGCTCTGGACTCATGGCTCCCTACTCCCCAGGGGTATCTGTGGCATTGTGAGTTGCGCTTACCTCTTCTGCCAGCGAGTCTTCCTTGGTTTCATCAAGAACAATCAGTTCAGCTCCAAGCTCATGGCCACTAGGTAGGCTCTGGACTAGGGGCTGGGGACCTCTCAGCGAAGTCCCCTGTGTACCCCCAACCTTATGTTGGCTGAGCCCTCCTGCCCCAGGCGCATGAGCCCCACCCTGGCCTGGCCCCACTCTGTCCTCCCTCCCAGCCTGCCTGTGCCCCAATTCTCCTATCAGCCTCTACTCCTAAGAATACCCAGGAGTGTGGGGCTGACCCACAGGTTCTGTCCCCTGGAGCGGGCCCAGTCCGTGTTCTCCATTCCCACTCTTCTTCCTCCCTGGTCCTTGCCTTGCTGTCCTGCCTGGGCGAGGCCCTGCTTCCCTCTCCTCCGGATGGGGGAAAGGGAGGGCCAGCCCTGGAGCTCACCCACACCCCACAGCAAGCCTGTGTACTCCGCCCTGGCTGCCTTGGTTCTCGCCTCCATCACCTACCCACCCGGCGTGGGCCGCTTCCTAGCTTCTCGGGTAAGGGGCCCTGAGCTGGAGTGGCAGGAGTGGGGAAGCCCTATTTGTTGCCCACTTTGCGTGTATCTCATGTAATTCCCCCAATACCCCATAGAGGAGATGCCTGGGCATTATTTTACCGAAGAGACTACAGCTTCGGGCCTAAGGCCTCCCGCTGGGAAGTGGCAGAGGAGGATTCCAGGCGGGGTCAGGTGGTGCACAGGTGGCTGGGGTCTGCCACTAAGGCCCCTCATGTCCAATTCCCACCTGCCCCACCCCAGCTCTCCATGCAGCAGCTTCTGGATTCGATGTTCGACAACCACTCTTGGGTGCTGATGACCCGGAACTCCAGCCCACCCTGGCCTGAGGAGCTCGACCCCCAGCACCTGTGGTGGGAATGGTACCACCCGAGGTTCACCATCTTTGGGACCCTTGCCTTCTTCCTGGTTATGAAGGTGGGTCCCCCGCACTCCCACATGTGCACAGAGCCAGGACCAGCTTTGGTGGGGAGGGGGTTGCCTTCCCGCAGTTGGTGGCATGGAGCCCAGGCGTCCCACCCATATTTCCTGATGTGCCCCCTGCTCCCCACATGGTCCAGGGCAAGTGGCTTCAGCTTTCTGGGCCTCAGTCTTCCCATCTTTGAAATGGGGTGGTTACTGGGAAGGCTGAGGAGGTAAAAAGGGACATACCTGGCACCAGTGCCAGGCACACAGTGGGCATTTCTCAGGGTGAGAACCCTCCCCTAATGACAGACTCTGGCAATGGGCACATGGCCGGGCACCCTCTTTCTCTCTAGGATGCACCCCTGTCCCCTGTTCTGTCCTCCCTTGTCCACGCCTTGCCCAGCAGCCTCTAAGCTCTGCCCTGGGCTCCCCCCCTCACAGTTCTGGATGCTGATTCTGGCCACCACCATCCCCGTGCCTGCCGGGTACTTCATGCCCGTCTTCGTCTTCGGTGAGTCTGGGGTCTGAGGTTCTGAGAGTTTCAGGGTTCTTGGGGCAGGGCCATGGCTCCTGGTTCACCCTCTTCTGGGATGGTCCGCAGGGATGGAGGGCTGTGGGGGCCGGGTCAGCCTGGATCCCCCTCACCCTAAGTCTATGGCCAGGAGCTGCCATCGGGCGCCTCTTTGGGGAGACTGTCTCTTTCATTTTCCCTGAGGGCATCGTGGCTGGAGGGGTCACCAATCCCATCATGCCCGGGGGGTATGCCCTGGCAGGTGAGTGGGTCAGGGGCCTGTTGGGTGGGTGACGTCGTGGGGCTGGGCTGGAACTGGAGAACGAACCAGTGGTTCCACAGGGCACAGAGAACCTCCCAGCCCCCCAGTGAGTCCCCCACCCCTCATGGGGGCCTGTCCTTCCTGAGCCCCACCATTCCCCAGGTCCCATTTCTTCCTCAGAGCTCCCGTCCTCTCCCCCATGCCCCGTGGCCTCCCTTATCACTCTTTTCTCATCAAGCTCAGGCCTTGGGGCAGTTCCCACAGTGCCCAGCCTGTTGCCTGGACCCTGGCTGCAGCTGTGCCAGCCTTGCCCTCACATGAGGCTGGCCCCTGGCCTGAGCTGCCCTGCCTGACTCTGCCCCCACAGGGGCTGCAGCCTTCTCAGGGGCTGTGACCCACACCATCTCCACGGCACTGCTGGCCTTTGAGATGACCGGCCAGATAGTGCATGTGTTGCCCGTGCTGATGGCAGTGCTGGCAGCCAATGCCATTGCACAGAGCTGCCAGCCCTCTTTCTACGATGGCACCATCATCGTCAAGAAGCTGCCATACCTGCCACGGATTCTGGGCCGCAAGATTAGGTGAGCAGCACCCACCTCAGGCTGGCTGAAAGGATCACAGTGTCTGGGCAGGGTTGGGGGTGGAGGGCACCTCTAAAAAGAAACACCACCGCAGGCCGGGCGCGCTGGCTCATGCCTGTAATCCCAGCACTTTGGGAGGCTGAGGCAGGCAGCTTATTAGGTCAAGAGATCAAGGCCATCCTGGCCAACATGGTGAAAGCCCATCTCTACTAAAAATACAAAAATTAGCCAGGTGTGGTGGCATGCACTTGTAGTTCCAGCTACTTGGGAGGCTGAGGCAGGAGAATCACTTGAATACAGGAGATGGAGGTTGCAGTGAGCCGAGATCACACCATCGCACTCCAGCCTGGGCAACAAGAGGGAAACTCTGTCTCAAAATAAAAAGAAAAGAAAAGAAACGCCACCGCAGCTGACATCGGACATGGCGGCCGGGAGGGGCTGACACCAGTTGTGCTCTGCTCTCCACTCTCCCCAGTGCCCCTGGTGACCTTGGGCAAGGCCTCGGCCTTCAGGCCTCAGTGTCTGTCAGGTCAGCTGGTCCTCACAGCATGAGGATGAATACTGCCCCGCATGCAGGGTGAGGAAGCCGGGGCTCAGAGAGGGGCCGTGTCCTGCTCCAACACCAGAGCTGGGTGTCCTCCCCTCTCCCCACTTCTGTGCCTTCACTGGGACTTTAGGAGCAGGAGGTGGAACAAGAACGGAAATGGGCTTTGAGGTCCTCACTCCACCAGACATATCGGACCAGAGCAGATTCTGGCACCAGAGAAGCAGACCAAAGACACTCTGAGAGCCACCGGGTCCGAGGCCCCGTCCCAGACACGAGCAAGCTGCTGCCTTGCCCTGAACCTGTTCCTCTAAAATGGGGCTGTCGCCCCAGTGGTTTCCAAACCTTCAAGTTCTTGCCCTGGAGGAAAGATATACTTTGTGTGTGTGAGATAGAGTCTCTCTTGCTGTGTCACAGGCTGAAGTGCAGTTGCACAATCTCAGTCACTGCAACCTCTACCTCCCAGATTCAAGCGATTCTTCTGCCTCAGCCTCCCAGGTAGCTCAGACGAGGCGCATGTCTCCATGCTCAGATTGTTTTTATATTTTCAGTAGAGACGAGGTTTCACCATATTGGCCAGGCTGGTCTCAAACTCCTGGCCACGAGTGATCCACCTGCTTTGGCTTCCCAAAGTGCTAGGATTACAGGCATGAGCCAGTACATGCCCAGCCGCATATACTTTTTATTCAAATGAAATTCTCCAGAGAAGGCTGCTGGGTAAAAAAGGCCAAAGTGAAACTGACTGGAGGATATGGAGGCACGGGGGGTCAGGGGGGATTCGGAACTGGGCCGTCAGGGATGTGGTCTCCAGGTTTTCCTCCCACCGTGGGTTCTAGGCGTCCCTCATTCCAGGAACCTCTCCAGCTCTGCCCACACTCCAGAGCCGTGAGTCCCTGGTTCCAGCAAAGCTCCCCCAAGATGCCCCTGCCCGGCCTGGGTCTGACATCCCTGACTCTAGGACCTGATGGGAGGCCCTCTTCCCGCAGCTCCCACCGCGTGAGGGTGGAACACTTCATGAACCACAGCATCACCACGCTGGCCAAGGACATGCCGCTGGAGGAGGTGGTCAAGGTTGTGACCTCTACAGACGTGGCCGAGTATCCCCTGGTGGAGAGCACAGGTGCCAGCCAGAAGGGGGAGGAAGTCGGTGGGGGGATGCCCTCTGCCTCCTGCTTGGACCCATCAGGCAGACAGGATCTGCATCCAGGCTCTGTGGCTTAGCAACTAACTGTGTGACCTTGGCCAAGTCACTTTGCCTGAGCCTCAGTTTCCTCATCAGTAAAATGGAGATCATGGCCTTCCTCCCTTGGGGTGACTGACTTGTCTGAAAAGAGACGGCGGCCGGGTGCTTGTAAGGCAGCCCCTGGGCAGCTGCTAGGGTAAGAGGTTGGGGACACACCAGGGTCTTTCAGAAGCTTCCCTTCAGGCCTCCCTTCAAGCGTTTCCCAGATGAGGCCCCTCCCCCAAATCCCTGTTGCCATGAGGAAAACATCTCCTTAAAGACAAAAGCATGGCGGCCCTTGTTTAAAGGTCTGGAACCCAGTGCTTGGGGAAACCTTTACTAGAGCATCATTTCCTGTGGGGACAAGTCCAGTATCTGCATCCAGAAGACAAGGCGGGGTTGGGGGGTAGCCCTGCCCACTCAAGGCCACTGTCAGCCCTGTGTCTCCCTGTGCAAATGAGACAAGGTGCACACCTGGCAAGCACAGCACAGCTGGATTTTGGTCTCCACTTGCACTTTGGGCAGGCATCTTGTGCAGTGAGCAACCTGTGCAACCATATGGGTCACCCCTATGCCCACCCCCAGAGGAACAGATCCACTTATGAGCTAAAGAATTGTGAGTATTCCACTGAAGCTCTGTGTACTGCATTTTCATCATCTGAAAAGTAGGGCTCAAGAGAGTATAGGGTTGCCAGACGTTCTCACCCCAAATGCTAGGCCCTTTTTCCCACTAGTCGGAAGACTGTTAGCATTACACCATGGAACATGCCAAATATCTCATCTGAAAATGTTTGCATTGGAATGACCCCACCAAGAGGCTTCACCTCCTGGAGCAGAGGAAGAATGAGCCTTTAAGACAAAGTCTTCTTTTACCCTTAGAGCCACAGCAAAGTGCTTCAACCAACACAGGCCCAGGCTGTGGGGCCCCACTGCTCACCCAAGAAATAGCCTCATTGTTCATTATAAAAGGAAGAGGAGGGTGAGCGCGGTGGCTCATGTCTGTAATCCTAGCGTTTTGGGAGGCCAAGGCGGGCAGATCATGAGGTCAGGTGATCGAGACCATCCTGGCTAACATGGTGAAACCCCGTCTCTACTAAAAACAAAAAATTAGCCAGGCGTGTGGCATGCACCTGTAGTCCCAGCTACTCGGGAGGCGGAGGTTGCAGTGAGCCGAGATCGTGCCACTGCACTCCAGCCTGGGCAACAGAGTGAGACTCTGTCTCAAAAAAAAAAAAAGTCTTTTAACTTGAGAAGATAACCAAAAAAAAAGAAAAATAAAAGGAAGGGGGACATGTGTATGTCTGGGTGTCAAGTTTTTATTCTACTCAACAGAAAGCAAAAGCACCAAGCTGGGCCCTCAAAACTAAATATCCAACAATGCCAGTGATACCCCAGGGCCAGAGTGAAGCTTGCCAAGGCCCCCAGCACACAGGAGGGCCTCAGAACACGGTGGTCTCCTGGGCTCACACTTTTACTGGGCTTCTCCAGATGTGAAACCTCTTGGGAAATGAAGGAGAAAGCCCAGACCTGACACACAGACGTCATCGTGCCAGCGTCCCCAGCTCACTCCAGTCTTGAGGACCTGCAACGTGGGGGATCTCAGTGGTGGCCAGGGTCCCTGCTGGCCCCCTGGCAGCCTCGCTCAGTCACCCTCAGCTACCACACCTCTACTTCAGAAGCTGAATGTCCTTGGGCAAGACAATGAGCCTCTCTGTGCCGCTGAGCCTGTTTCCTGTCCTTTATAAAGGGTGACAATAGTTACAATAGCCCCACAGGAACACCCAGCATAGTTCTTGGCTAAGTAGGTGCTAAGTCAATGTGAGTCCCTGTTTCTTTGTAACGCACCTCTCTCCCTCTCCCTCTCCACTTGCCAGAGTCCCAGATCCTGGTGGGCATTATACGAAGGCCCCAGCTGGTGCAGGCCCTCCAGGCTGAGCCTCTTTCCTGGGCTCCGGGACAGCAGGTGGGTACTCCTGAGGGGCATGGGGGTCGGTCAGCAGGGCTGGGAGGGGAGAGGCCCGCTGATCTCCTGAGGGAGAGGTGGTCTGAGAGAGGCAGCCTGGGGGGGCCAGCTCTGCACCTGTGACCCTTCCTCACCCCTGGCAGTGTCTCCAGGACATCTTGGCTGGGGGCTGTCCCACGGAACCAGTGACCCTGAAGCTGTCCCCAGAGACCTCCCTGCATGAGGTAACAGGATAGTTAGGGAGTGCAGGCACTGGAGGCCCCTGTGTGGGGGAAGAGCTGATAAGGCGCTCAGGCTCCAACCTCCCCTCCCACCCTGCCCGCCAGCCTGCCTTATGCTGCCCCCTGCCCCTCCCGGGTCTGTGTCCTCACCAGCACACCAGGCAGGGCAGCTCCCACCCTGTCGCCCCTCACTGCCAAGATTGTGGGGATGATGCAGAGAGAGGAGAACTGGGGGGCTTGATAAAAGGAAGTCTCCAAGAGGAGACAATGGAGTTGCACCAAGGCGCACGTGCATTTCAGTTTCAGGTCCCGCACATTTTCTCTGTGTGATCTTGGACAAATGACATAGACACTCTGGACAGAGCCTGACACACGGGCGGGGGAGGGGCAGAGGCCGGCAGGGGACCTGGAGATGGCGCTGCCCACTCTGTGCTGCTGGAGGGTGCTGGATATTGGGTCCTGTCCACCTGCTGCCCACCCAGCCTCTTGCATGGACTCTGGCATCCCCCAGTGGCCACACTGGACATTGCAGGCCTGGGTCTCTGGTCTCCCACCCACATCAGGCCCTGCCCCTCTTCCTGGCTCAGAGGCATGGGCAGGAAGGTGGCCAGAAGGTGGGCTGGACGCCTTCTACCCTCCAGCATTTCCTAACAATCCCTCCTCCAGGCACACAACCTCTTTGAGCTGTTGAACCTTCAGTCCCTCTTCGTGACATCACGGGGCAGAGCTGTGGGCTGCGTGTCCTGGGTAGAGGTACCAGGGTCTCCAGGGCAGAGCAAAGCAGGGGACCCATGCTGAGAAGGCTGGGGAGGTGGGAACACAGCATGCTCCCATCCAAACCTGGGGAGTTCAGAGGATACTGATGAGTCCCCTCTTCCTGGTCTAGGTTGGCCACTGGGCCTGGCTCCCCCTACTTTGTTTTCCAGCCAGTGGCCAGCCTGCCCCTCTCTGGGCCTTGGTGATCCCATCTGTGTAATGGGGTGGCATGAGCTCTGCTATTCAGCCCAAAAACAACCCTTAGGGGAACTAAAAATGCTGCAGCCCCCCTCTCAACCTCCTCTACATCCCCCCAACTCCCACCCCCTTTCTCTGTTCTAGATGAAGAAAGCAATTTCCAACCTGACAAATCCACCAGCCCCACAGTGAGCTGGCCCAGCAAGATGAAGCAGGGCACCCCAGCTGCCCTGGTGCTGAGGTTGGACTGAGACCCTGCCTCTCCCTCCAGCCCAGCTTCATTCCTTGGCATAAGAGGCAGCTCTAACCTAGCCCAGAAGAGCATGGCTCATCCTGGAAGAAACGATGGCTCCTGATTGAAAGCCAAATCCCACCTTGGACAGAGCTCAGAGCGTGAGATGCCAGAAAACCAGTATCTGGCAGGTGCTCAGTGACTGACCATCACATTAATGAATGACAAGGTTGGGGTATGCTGTCACCAAGGGCAGGCACAGATGCTCTCTGGGGTTGTCTGATTCCCAGTGAGAGGCTCCTGAGAAAAATAAAGCTGGTTCCCAGAGCTGCTGTCCATCCCTCGTCTCAGCTGCAAGGGTGCTGGCCTGGGACATGAGCTCCCCACCTGCACTGGTCCAGAATGAGTTTCCCATGGCCACGTGGGCACTGCAGGCTCGGGTCCCTGGGCTCCTCCTCATGTTCCACTTCTTGCCAGGGAAATGCCGGGGAAAGAGGGGCTCCCACCAGGTCTATGATGCTTGTCCTCATGGATAAGCAGGACCCTGTCTGTGTCACTCAAGCCCTAGTCTCCTGCTTGGCTGAGCCACAGCTCATAAAGCCATAAAGCCAGGTCCCCAAGTGTGGCTCTTGGGGAGTCCACAGAGCCTTGGGCATCCCCCATGGGTCCTCTCGGGCTGGGTAACAGCAGTGTGTTTGTGTTGGGGTTGGGGTCCTCCCTGACTCCCTCTGGTCTCCACCCAGGGGCCCAAGGTCACATCTTCCCCAGCAGAGACCAGGCCAAGGTCATCCAGGGTGAATCCACCACTTTAATGTCTTCAGGGAGCTTTGAGTGAGATGGGAGGGAGCTGCAAGGAGGGGGAGGGGGCTCCCTGGGGAGGAGCAAGGAGCACTGAGGAAGCAGGTTCAGAGAGGGAGGGACAGACACACAGACACTCCACAGAGACAGATGTCCTGGTGAGGAGAGCTAGGGAGCCGGTGCTTAGCTACCAGAAGTGGCCACCTCACCTTTGCTGGGGGACAGATACACAGAAGGAGTGGGAGGGCCTGAGCCCCAGGTACGGGCAGGGTTCCCAGACCCCACTCTAAGTGGGTCCCAGTTCTCTCCCTGGCTGTCCCCCTGGGGCCTGGCTGTGGCTCCTCTGGGCCTTCTCTGAGAGTCCTTGAGTTCCCTGAGGGCAGACACCCTGCAGGGGAAGGTGCCCACCTGAGTGACCTAATGAAGGGGAAAGGGGTTATGGCTCCCACTGCCAGGGGCAGGTCCACCGAGGCACAGAGAGGCCACCATGAATGCTGGCCCCATCCCTGCTGCACTGACCCTGTACCTACCTGAGGGGTCAAGAGATGCCCTGCCCTGGACTCCAGGGTCTAGCTATGCCTGGGCTGCCCGCGTGGCGAGGTCACGGTGTGAACAGTGCAGGACCGGCACAGCCCCCTCCTCAGTTATAGAACACCTCGTCCTCCTCCTCCCAGAGGGAACCGCTGTCCACGGAGGGGAGGGAGCCTGGCAGGTTGGTCCCACCCTTGGGTCTTTGGGTCCCAGGCAGCTGTTGCCAATGCTGCAGCTCTGGGCTTGAGGGCTGCAGGACGCCAGCAGTGCTGGGGGGCTCCTCAGGTGAGGGACAACTGTCAGGGGAGAGGCTGGATGAGGAGAAGGCCTGAAGGCTGTCATCCTGCCAGGGGCCGCTGGGAAGGCTGTCCTGAAGGTAGCCGCTCTCCAGGTCTGGAAAGAACAGGGTAAGGGAGGAATGGCGTCCCAGATCCAGCTCCTCGCCCTCTCTGAGTGTGTGTAGGAGGGCAAGGGCAGAAGACCTGCCTCCAAATCTCACTGTGTGACTGTCGAGCTTGTGACCTTTGTCAAGTCACCAAAACTCTCTGAGCTCCAGGTTCCTCCTCAAGGCAGTAAACGGAGGAGTTAAGAGTGGGCTTGGAGCCAGCCTGTGCTGTCTGATAACTGGGGAGACAGGGCTCCCCCTGAACCTCTGTCCCCTCCCCATTCCTCTCCATCTGTCAGGGAGGATTAGTGCAGGCTTCCCCCGGGGCCAAGGCTTATTGAAGGCCTCAGTAGTAACCTGGGCTTCTAGAAGGGCGGTTGCTTGTGCCTGCTGGTAAATTTCAGATCTGTCTCTGACGCTTCTAGCTGTGTCATTTGGAGTCAGTTTCTGAACCTGAGTGCCTCAGTTTCCTTATTAATTACAAAAATGGGGACAACAGGACCCACTCCCTAGGGCTGCTGTGAAGATTCTGTGCCCAGCCTCAGTGTGGCAAGCGCCCGGTTCCAGCCTCTGCTGTGCTCATTCTCTCCTTCATGCTCCTGGCGCTGCCGGGCAATGGGCAGGCCAAGGATCACTGCCTCATTTTGCAGATGCAGAAATTTAGGCTGAGAAAAGGAAGGGGCTTGGCTGAGGTCATATTGCATTTGCTGGTGGGCAGGTATCCAGCCTCAGCTCCTCTCTGCCCGCCCACCCTGGACCCCCTGGGCTGTACCCTGGAGCTGGCTGATGTCCTGGGGGCTGTCCTTGGGGTGCAGTTCCTCATCGTCCAGCAAGGACCAAGCGCTCAGTGTGGCCTCCGTGATGGCAAACTGCTCAGCGACCCCTGAGGGGACAGTGAGATCTGGCTCAGGGGGGCACAGTGGGGGATGACTTCAGTGCCCAATGGAGCTGCTCCAGGACAGGCTGGAGGGTGTCCGCCCCTGTGGGCTGCCAATCCACACCCCAGTGGTCGGAAGTGCTCACTGAATCCCCACCCATGCCATTATGTTTTCCTGCCCAGACAATTCCCATGCAGTGATTTGGGCCTCCCAAGGACCCAGCTTCACCCCCACAGGGCTCCAGCCAGTCTCTCTCCACGCTGACCTGCAGCAAAGCGGGCCTCACGCAGCTCATCCGGGAGGCAGCAGTAATGCTCGTCTTCGGCTGGGGACAGCTCCCAGCCTGCCCGATGGGCACTCCAGCCCTTCCACTCGATGAGGTGGGCCACGCGGCCTCGGGCCATGGCTGTGGGCTTTGTGATGTGGTCCTTGATGCTCTGCACCACCCCTGGGGGCATGGAGGGCATCTGGGTGACTGTCCTGACACAATCCCCAGCTCAGGGCCTGGCCCCCGTGCCTCAGCGCTCCCAGGGGCCTGTACCCGACATTCTTTCAGTGCACCACAATCTCTATCAGTGCCCCATACCTCCCCAGGGGCCTGTACCCATCTAACTCCTTGTGCCCTCCAGCACCTCCTGCCCACTCCTGCCCTGAGCCCTCCCCTGCATGCCCCACCCACCGGTGTGTGCATTTCCTCCCAGCATCCAACTCCCAGTCCATGTTCCTGCCCACTGGTGCTTTTTCCCCAACCACCCACACCCCTCACTCCCTTTCTGACCAAGTTCAGACCCTTCCACCCAAGGAGATCCACCCAAGGACCACTCATGATCCCCCAGCTTTCTCCAGGATCCTTTAAACACATTCTGAAAGAAAGTCTCTGTGGCCGTGTCAGCTCTGCTGAAGGTGAGACCTGGGTGGGTGGAGCAGGCAGGGAAGGCTTCCTGGAAGAGGAGACTTGGGATTGGAATTTGAAGTTGGGTTGGGTATAGACAGA